ATGCTCTTTAACTTGGAAAGCCGCCTTGGTGAAGGCTTCTCGCTTAAATGAGTCAGGATCTTCTCCCTAGAGAAAGGCTTGAGCTGCAAGGTTAAGAATATGCCTAAAGCATCTTATTTAATGATTTCTAATATCTTCTTTCGCCATTGCAGGATAAAGTTGATGATAGAGGCTTGCCAAGTATATATCATTAGATAAGGCGTTATCGCAGACACCTGCGCCAGTCCTATCTTATATCCCATACTCGCCCAAGATATCATATATTGTTGCTGCTTGGTTATCTCTGGAATAAGATCCCTATATATGGCGCAGAGCAAGGAGTCGCGATTAGACTTAATAGGAGGCGTCGAGATAGTGGGCGTGAAGGCCAAGGAAAGCATACTGGTTTGGAGAAGTCCATAGGTTAAAGCTAAAGCTAATCCTTATGACTGCCTTCTGTAATTGACTTGATATTACTCCCTTCTTTACCTTGAATAATTTCCGCATAGTATTACGCACTGACTGCCAACTCTATGATACCTCTTTTACTAATAATATATTGTGTAAATCGAGTATTTGGCGTAAGTATGGATTCGATGGCGCCGTGAATGGAAGATTGGCAGTAATGATCCAGCTGACCATTAACTCCTTTGCTTTATTGATATTCGATCTTATAGTAGGAGACTCTAAGCAATGCCGCTTCGAGGGTGGGTGAATATCAGCGCGAGATAAATACGAATCTGCATCCATATTATCATCCGCCTCGGTGATCATATGAGACCTATATCTCGTAAGACAATAGAGAAGTAATAAAGATCAGGCTCATATAGATATCATTTACCTTCAGAGGTGCTTAATTGGCGATGTTATATTTATGGCGACGAATAATAAGCTCTTGCCTTGTTTATTACATTTCAAGCATACCTAGTAGGTCTGCAATATCTGCAAATCAGGGCTGACTTCTATAAGAAAGAAGCCATGGGCTTGGATCCAGCTCCTCTGACCTTTGCGATTCTTATTAGCAATGTATTCTTCTGGTATATATTTCTTATAGCTGATCTGGATAGTTGGGAGGTCGGCGAGGGTTGTTCTTCCAGCTTTAGTCTTAATAGATGCAGCATCAAGCTGCTGCTTAAGTGATTTGCGATGGCCACTAATTCCTAGAAGCGATTCTAACGACTGTTATTGTGCTGCTATAGCGGGTTACCAGCGAATCGCGGAATACAGATGCTTCTTATCAGGGAGCGATGTTAATTCTGAACCAGGTGTTTCCAGCATGCGAGCAAATGCAAAACATGTAGTTGCGCCACCCCTGCCGCGTTCCTAGGTTCCATTGGTGTAATCAACTGGGGTACTACACTTAATTGATTACCCTATGCCTAGGACTCCGAACAGCCTCGAAACTCATAGGGCTATCGCATAGGAAAATCTATAAAATCTAGTATTTCAAGTAAATCAAGTTTGAAGCATTATAAACTTGCTTACTTGAAATAAACTGGTTTATCGACTTACTTGACTTACTTGAAATACTTGACTTAATACTTGAATTGAGGTCAGCGCTGGAAAACACTCAGCTTTGCGGTTGGAGAAAAGGTAGTGCCCTCCGGGCTCATAACCTGTTGAAGTAAAAGGGTTGATTGTTGTTATTGTTAGTTCTAAGTTACATATGTCTGAGAGGAGCACAGCTCCTTACATAGTATCCACATCCTAGCCACCAGCAGATCAGACCACCTTAGCCATACTGTCTCAACACATCCTACCTACAAGAGCCCTTGACAAGGCACCATTGTTTTGCACAAGCTCTTGGAACTTATCATCCTTCCAAAGATACTCAACGACGCAAGCGGCATAATGCACTACTAAATTTCATAGCTAATCTGGCACTAATTCCTCGAAAGCAAAGCGCACCAGTTCCACTACATCACCACTAGCCTTTTCATCCAAGCGAAGATTCACCAAGCTTCCGTGAATCTTCTCATAAGAAATCTGCATAAGCCTCGTAACCCAATAACGGTCTGCCAATGTGTAGACCCTGGCGTGGTGCACTAATGGGTTTGTATAAACTTTTAATGCCCTGTTGACTTCGGGGATTTGGCTGGGGTATTCCCATGAGGCCTGAAAGTCCTCCCAGAGTGTTATTTTACAGACTTCCTAGCCCACTTTCTTTTTTTTCTTTATTCTTATAAGGGATAGATACCAAGTAGCAGGAGGTTTCGCTTCAATATAATCCTCGGAGGTAGGTTCAGCGGCCGCGACGGATTCTTCTTCAAAGGTACTCATATATACTTCATCAACAGTAGGTGTTTTCTCGACAGGCTCATTGCTGAAAGTTGTTTCAGCAAGCGGCTCATCAGGGTTGTGCGCCTCTTCTTTGCCCTTGCTGGAAGTTGTCGTGGCTGGTGGCAACGGTTCCGGAGTGTCATAGTCCCCAGTGTATACAAACTGCCAGAAGCTAGTAAAGACTATCTCATCGATATCGTCCCACTTGACAGAACAGTCCGATGACTCTTTGAATTGTCCATTCACAAGTACCAAAAGAGCCGGTGACTGGTGGCCAACAAGCGCAGAATGGATGGTGAATTCTGTTCGTTGAGGACCAACGATAAACTTGAATGGCTTTGATGTAGCGACGCTATATACGTCGGTAAGCATGGTCTTTATTATATTTCCTGCATACACCTACCTTTTCTTCGATATGCGCTCCATTCTCTTGGGTTTCTTTGCCTAATTGCAGTAATAACTTATTTGAGCCATTTTCCTCATTCTTCTAAAATCTCCTGATCATGGAGAGATACCCAACTGGTTTTGGCGACCCTACCCCGCTCCAAAGTTTGATGATTTTATTGATTGTTGATTGGGCCTGCTCAGGCGTGGTTGGCCTCCCACAGTTCGTCTGGCAACACTAGCGTAAGCATGTCGCAGCTGAATTTGACAGATCAGATAATTTCGTTGACCTACTGTAACAAAGTGTTGAATAGTGCCAAAAGGAAGCTCATGGAAGTAGTTTGAAAAGCTGATAAATATTGTCATTAAAGATGAGGATGAATGCCTATCCCGACTACTCTGTACCATTAGCAGATGTCTAATTGCTGCAAATGCGCACATGGTGGGAGGGAGGACATGGGCTAGTTACTGGTCCTGTGGGGCACCCCGAGCCGGGGTTCAGAAAGCCCACTTACTTAGCCAGGGGGCTGTCCCTCTTCTCTCTTTTCCTTTTCAGCGCAACAACGGCAAGCCCCGGCAATAGCTGTTACTTAAACCCTTTCATCCGTCCTCACCAACGCTTCACTCCTGATCATCGTTGTCATAACTTGTCGCCTCACGCAGATCAAGCGGCATCGGGGCGACTATTCCGTTTTACATATACAGCGGTAGATATTCCATCTATTTAGAGAACAAGCAGTACAATCCGGCCGACATTATGGCCGCCGCTCGACAAAGACAGATACTGTTAGACGTGTCCGATAACGTACCACCTATCAGGGACGAGGAGCGACCCGTTTGCGAAGAGTGGCTCCAGTCCATTGACTTCCTTGCGCCAGGAAAGGACCAGGGCGTGTGGGTTACAATCGTCCAGAACTGGGAGCAGTTCCTAAAGGCGACAAAGACGAAAATCACAGGTTCTGGTGCATCCCGCCGTTATATTCAAGGCCCAGCCGCCAAAAAGCGTGAAGCGATCAAGCAAGCATTTTGGGAACGAGTAGATGGACTCGAAGCGTTGGCTGAGCGCTGGCCTGCGAAGGCACGACGGACAATTAACCAGACCGCAGAGGGGCCTGATGCCGGGCCATTCGAATCGCTCGCGGCCATCTGGGACTTGGAAAAGATGAAGAGATATCAGTCTATGTGGACAAGCATGATATGCTTCTTAGTATGGGCTATCAATAATGACGGAGATAGTCTAGAGGACATGGGCTTGGAATTAGACGAGGCGGTTAAGGAAGACATCCTCGACATCGGGATGGTGGCAGTAACCCCGGCTTCCAGCTGGTTTATTGGTGACGACACCCCAGAGGATCTCATCCAGGCTTTCCTCACCAAACTCATAACCGATGAGTCTGTAACGGCGCGCAAGAACCCGCTGCTCTGGTGGACATCCATCTTGGTGCGGTCGGCGATTTCGGACGATAGGGAGAAGGATTTTATTAGTAGGGGAACGATCAGCATGAACATGTTACCGCCAGATGTGGCCATTAGGGGCCGTGTAGAGGCTATCGGACACTACAGCAAAGTCCTTATTCTCGACAAGGCGTTCATGGGGTGGCGGACGGGAAGGCCTGACCGGGAGGTCTTGGCCGAGGCGATAGCCCAGGACCTCAATGAAGTGGACAATGAGTGGCTCAATATAGAGGACGGACCGCGGCCAGATGACCGCCTGGACAGACGAACGTGCCAATCACCAGCGTGGAAGATAATGCTGAAGCATTTGGAGCAGGAAGGGTGCCAGTGGCTAGGCCAAAAGGAGAGGACAACGATGGGAGAGATCAGAAGGCTTCTGTCTGCACTGCGGAGAGTGAGTAATTGAGTAAAAAAGTGTGAGAAGCAGTGAACTGGAAAAGGATCGCGCAGGGACAAATAATAACATTAAAATATCTCAATCTCTCGTCGTTGCTTCCAGTGTTAGTTGAACTTTTCCGTGGCCTCAAAATTGTCCTAATATCCTATCCTTTGGATCGGTCGTTGAAGAGACGTCAAATACTTATATATCGTCTTGCGAATCTCGCCAAACTCTGCAAAGCCTCTCTGTTGCATCAACATATCTTCGATCTGGGTGAGCTCTTGAAAATAAATCTCTTAATCGCGAAAAGTTAGACCTAGCGGTAGATGGTAGGGATAGCGCTCTTTGCTATGATGCATATGATGGACATGTCTCGGAAGCCTGTATTCTTCCGATCCGCGTTCTATACAAACTTGCCTGACTCCAACTGGCCTGACGAGTAACAGATGCAGGCTTGTGGACCCAATTGGCTGCAATGTGAAGCATGTCATGGTGTCATCACCCCCTCATCTTCTGTCGGATCGATTCGTCCCTCGTAATCCATCCTGATCGCTCTTCAAACCCGTATCAATTTTTGCCAGCAGGGCCATCAATATATACATTATGATGACGCCAAACTCACCGATTACGGAAAGCTGTCAATGTCCTAAGGCAAAGGAGGTCGACGAAAGGGAAGGCGAAGTCGGCACCTCGGTGATTTGCCGAGACTGCCTGCTAGAGGTGGCGACCACCCAGAAACCCAACGTTGCTGAGCAAACAGCAGTCGAGCAAGCAGTCCTTCCCAATGGTCGAGCTATCTATATTGCTTTCAAAGACTCGCCATGGTTTAGTAAAGCCTCCGGAGAGTGTTTGAATGACTACAGCATCAAAACGGCTATATTAATATGGCGAAAAAAAAACCCATCAGTCAGGCACCTAGTTCGTGAATATGGCATTGCAGCTCTGGTAACGTCACTGAAGGGCTTACTAGATGAGGAAATATTCTCGTCCACCGATGCTGCAAGGCGTCGGTTTCTAGACCTCTTTTCGGAAGAGGAAGTGCCAAGGTCTGAGGCTGGGCACGGGACGATGGCTGAACTTCAGTCTGCGAAGCAGGGACAGGCTGACGACGGCAAATGCAATCCATCAGATAACACTGCCGATGGGCCTGGCAGTAGGTACAACTTTCTAGATTAACGCGCGATATACTGATTTACCCTTTCCTTTGTAGTAAATCGACGACAGAGTACTCGACTGAGTCGACATCACCAGAAAAGTGATGACCTTACCTTCCTACCGATCAGACCACGACAGCGACTAATGTCGCAGCTGCAATTGATATTGGAGCACGCATGCTTCTCATTTGGACAGCGAGAAATGCAGAAAGAGCTAGACGACTGGGATTGGAGCTGCGCTGAGGCAGTTCAGCTGGATACGTGGATAGACTTATTCAAGCAGAATAAGACGCTTGAGAACGAAGAAAATGCCGGAAGTCTCTCGAACTTATTCAGTTCAGTGGCCAGAATTCAAGATATTGCCACTCATCGACTCAGCGTTGCCGTCGTCGAAGTCAACGAGTTGCTGTCGAGTGCGGAAGAGTTTTTACAGCTTCTCAACATACCAATATATCGGGACGCTGTCAAGCCGCTCCGGCAGCATATTGAAGAGGTACTTCTCACAGCGAATCGAAATGTTGCCTCGGTCTACAAAGAAGTTGACAGGAAGTCGGGAGAGATTGAGGCCCAGAGAGAAAGGTTAAAGCGGCAGGAAGAAGAAGTTGAATGGTATCGAAAGGAGAACCTAAACAACATTCGAGATTCCATCGAGCATGATATATTCGCAGCAATGGCAAAAGCCAAGGAGAGTTTGCCAGATATTGGGCTTGCGGATATCCGTTAAGTAGGATGATCCCGGTCGCGGGGCCTGAACTTGACAGGACGTATGCTGCTTTTATCTGAGAGAGGGAACCATTCAACGTCAACGGGAAGGTCAAACAAAGCATAATAACACTAGATGAAAAGTATAGCAGTGCACTGAAATCCGTTCATGCCAATACACCTGTCAAAGCTAAGAAGGAATATTATCTAAAAGTCCACCTATCCCCCGCGTCGCCGAAGAATGGCGTTGGAGGCTTGTTCATGTATAATGCGATATCCAGTATCAGTTGAGGTATCTCCAGTAGAAATGCCTGGACTCGACTCTCGTCCAATAATGCGCGGTTCTCATAGAATATTTCCACAATAGCTTTCCGCATTTCCAGGATGTCAGTTGGAGTAGCGGTGTACGCCTCCCGGGCCGCGTCCAAGAAATAACTGGATTTCCATTGCTGCTGAGCCACTCCCTTGAACTTCTTGATACATAACTCTCCGAGGCGAGGAATGTCGTACATGTGCGCAAGCGTAAAGACTTTGGCGTGAAGAATCAACAGCCGGGCCTCGAGAGTAGTTTCTTTCTCTGTAACAGGTGAATAGTCGTCGTCCTCTCGAAGTATGTCCTCGTCAGGGGCATCGCTCGAGATAGCAGTTACGACTTCGTAATCCCAGAGATATAAAAACTGCACCAGACATTCTACTGCCTCGGGGTCGGCGTCTCCGAAGTTGAAAGAAGCTCTAGCAGTGCGGTGATCAGACCCATTCCCCTGTGGTTCAACTCGATCAATCTTGGCAGCATTAAACTCGCACGATCGATCTATGACAGGGGACATGGAGCAAACAATCGAGCGGTGTGCCTTATATAGTTTAGTGTCCGATATGAGATCTATGTCGGAGTATTTCCCTGTATGAAAGAGACTATATAGGTATGATTAGCAGAATGTTTTCAATAAGCAAGGCAGCCGAGTGAATTTACTCTTTCATCCACGCCCTATGGTCTTCCATGATGCAACGGTCTCGATCAGGCGATAAAGGTCTGAGGACTCTTTGAGGCTCTTGCCGTACCGTAGGCCATAAAGCTGGCTCTGAAAATACGATCTGGGCAGTAGAATATGAGCTGAAGACGCCTTGCTGGAGTAAATACTGTAAGATCCGAACGAGCTTGTCCCGAGGGAAGTTTGAGACGGTGAGATTGTGCTTTTGCACCACTGCTCTTATCGCTTTCTGCTTACGCAGAGCCAAGTTCTCGGGTATAGAGAAAATTTGTTTGCATCGGGAAGAACGGTAGACAGTGTTACGATCGGCCTTAGAATATTGCATGTGTAACAGGCGGGGGCCACAATAGCAACGCCGCCCAGGCCTCTGTCTCTTGGTCGACGTGACTTGGCTTGGTGAGTTGATGACGTTCGGTGAGATATATTGTTGACCTGGAGTAGGCTATTTAGAGCTGATTGGTTGGATATAAAAGTTGTGCTGGCCTGTAGAGCCTGATTCGGAATTTAGGCGCTCAGGCATCTATGCAGTACATATCACGGCTGGGATCTACCAGTACTAAACCACGAACCAAGAACTTGGATGGGGAACTTCTTTGTATAGCTATGACTGAGGCAGTTTTGGAATATCTTTTCAAGGCAATGGTCTAGTTATTGGAGAATGAGGTTATAAGGAGCGCAGATATTTTTGCCTCTCCGAATAGTTAATGTTCCTTAATATTGTTCAAGTTAGACGACAAGAATCTCAAAGAGGGCAGGTGGAAAGCTAACCCCAATGACGAATCACATGCATGGCGCCATGTCTCGGATGCCTCTATTATTCCGGTTTGCGTTCCGACTAAGCCTGACTCGACCCTGACCAGTCTAGCGATAAACTGACCCGGGCATGTGGCTTCGATTGGCTGTGATATGAGACATATGGTGCTGTCATCATCACCCACCATCACCAGTCGAACTCAATTTTCCTTTGTCGCCGTTCTTGACCGCTCTTCAATCCGTACTTGATGATGATGACACCGCTCGATGCACAGAGTACTGACGTCTGTCAATGTACCAAGGTAAAGGGAGCTGGAGGGATCGAATGCGAGCTTGGTACAACGGTGATCTGTCCAGCATGCCATTTGGAGGAGGCAAACACCCGGGAGCCCAACGACGCCGCGCAAACAGCCGTAGAGCAAACAGCCCTTCCAGACGAAAGAAGGGTCTATATTGCTTTCGAAAGCTCGCGTCTTTTGAAGGAAACTGGCGGACAGCATCTGAGTGATAAATCTATCAGATCAGTCATAAAAAGGCGGCAGAAAGGACAGACGACGGCCCGGCACCTCCTGAACGAATATGGCATCTCAGCTCTGGTAACCTCACTCCGAGCTTTGGTAGATGCTGAGATATTCACATCCACCGATGCCGCGAGTCGTCGATTTCCCGATCTCTTTCCAGAAGAGCAGGAGACAGCAACTGGAGATCTGTCTACAAAAGAGATCGAACCGCATGATGGTGAATGTAACCAATCAAACGATGCGTCTGGTGGCTTTGGAGGTAATCACGTCTTTCCTAACCTAGGTGAGCCGGCGATATGCTGATGCACTTCCTTCCTTACAGCAGGCGTATTGCCAAACAGTCGACCTGGCCAGACTCTCCGGGATTGTCGCCTTCCCACCAGGCCACGACATAGACTCATGTTGCAGCTACAATTAATACTAGAGCACGCATGTTTCTCATTCGCACAACGAGAAATGCAACAGGCGCTGGACAAATGGGACTATCGCTGCGCCGAGGCGGTCTCGCTACAAACCTGGATAGACTTGTTTCGGAATAACAAAACATTCGAGACCGAAGGTAATGCTGGGTCACTCCCGAACCTGCTCAGCTCAGTAGGCAAGATTCAAAATGTCATCATTCATCGACTCGACCTTAACTTCTTCCAAGTTAACCAGTTTTTACTGAATGCTGAAGAGTTCATCCGGCTTCTCGATACTCCATTGTATCTAGATGCTATTAAGCTGCTTAGGCAGCGTATTGAAGAAGTACTTCTTATGGCGAATCGAGATGCTGCTTCAATCCATAACGAAGCTGATGGGAAGGTTGCAGAAATTGAAGCTCAGAGAGAAAGGTTAAACCGGGAGGAGGAGGGCGTTAAACGTCATCGGGACGAGAACCTGGACAACATCCGAGATTCCATCGAGCGTGACATATTTGCAGCCATGGGACAAGCTAAAGATGCCTTACCAGGTATTGGACTGGCGGATAACCGTTAAACAATTTGATGATTCGGGTTCAGGAATACAATATGGAGTCGAAGAGATGATATGTAGAGTAAATTAAGCGTTTTGTTAGAACCCCACTACTCGTGGGTTTGACTAAAAAGGAACCCCACTCATAGAGTGGGCGGCAAAATTCTGGGACAAGGGCAAAATTCTGGGACAGCCGAATACCCCGCTCAGTCCGAATTTGCTTGATTTCACCACCAAAAACCCAACTTTTGAAAGACATTTCTAAGTATCATTCGGTCATATCTTGTATCTCAATTTGAATTTTC